CTGTCATTAATAGAACCTGCCATTCCATTTAATGTGCACTTAAGATAGTTTGAAAGCAAGTTTCTGCTCAGATGACTTAAAACATGACAATGAAGTGATAGTTTTAATCTGAATAAAATCAGGCCCTAGCTGGTTTGGTTCAGTGGATAGAGCGTCGGCCTGTGGACTGAAGGGTCCTGGGTTCGATTCCTGTCAAGGGCACATATCTCGGTTGCTGGCTCCCAGGCCTGGTCAGGGGCATGTGGGAGGCAACAAATCGATGTGTCTCTCTCACATAGGTGTTTCTCTCTGTCTCTCTCTCTTCCACTCTAAAAGTCAATGGAAAAAATATCCTCGGGTGAGGATAAAAAAAAAAAAAGAATAAAATCAGAATAGTTAGAATGCATGTATAGTATGTTTTAGGATGCAAATCTATGTAATCCCAACCTATGACCCTAAAATAATCCTAAAGTATGTTTGTACATAGTTATTTTGGTTCTCCAAATGCATTTTCTCCTAGGAAGCAATATCACAAAGATGATTGTTACTAAATTTAGTCCCAAGAGACGGTTTAGCCCATAATATGATTGAACTTTATAAAATTAATAGTAACCATAAATTATTCTGAACCAGTGGATTGGAAGGAGTCAGCAGTTTCTGGTTGAAATGGCTTTCTTATGAAGAGGCACGGAATGCATCTGATGCTGGGGTACAGTGACTAGTCTGCAGTGGATGGGAAATGAATGTACCTTAAAAAGACTCCAACTTGCCATGTACTTTTTGAAAGGCTTATCATGGTAAATATAGCTCTTTAGGCAAACATGAAGTTTATTAAAGTGGTTCAGTTACCATGGCAACATATCTGGAATTTATAGCTCTTTATTTTGAGAGGGCTTCATTTCCACTTTCTGAGGCACTGGAATCCAAGGCTAAAGTTCTTAACAGCTTCCAGTCTCGTTGTATGATGAATAACTATTGTTTAGAAAATTTAGACATACAAAAATGGGCTTTCAAATCAGCTTTCAATAGGTATTTTTCAATTTTGAAATGCCCCTATTTTAATTTTTTTTTTACTACTACCAAAACCACATATGGTCATAGTTGAATGAGGAGAAATAGCCATTTCAAAATATAACAGTTCCCTAACCTTATTCCCCAAAGGCAACCGCTTCCTTTTCTTGTAGCTGATCTTTTTAGTATTTATCTCAAATCCCTCAGCTACATGTTTATCTTGCTTCTTGATTTGCATTACTGTTTGTTTATAATTTTAGCTGTCACCATTTGGCTTCCCAATGGGGAAGATAAAATTTTAGCTCCTTCACCCCTCTGCCCTCCCACACACCTAGATCTTTTCTGAATTCCCCTTCTCCCAACAAAGTGATAGGTAGGTAGGTAGGTAGGTGGGTACATGAAAGAGAGGATGCATGGATGGATGGATATAGTTATACTTTATTAATTTTATAGTAACTTATACTGATTTTGGCTTGATCAATATTCACCACGTATATTATTAGAACCATGTTTGTAATATTTACAGGAGAACTGTGCAATATACTATGGGTATGTTTTCTTTCTTCTATATATCATTTTTAATAGTTTTTCTTCAGACTTTTCCCTGGTGGCTTAATTTTCTCTCAATATTTTTGAAAAATATATTTTTATTGATTTTAGAGAAGGAGGAAGGGAGAGGAAGAAAGAGAGAGAGAAACATCAATGTGAAAGAGAAACATGGATTGGCTGCCTCCTGCACCCCATAACTGCAGTCTGAGCATGAAACCCAGGCATGTGTCATGGTGGGGATCGAACCAGTGACCCTTCAGTGCATGGGACAACACCCAACCAACTGAGCCACACTGGCCAGGGCTCCTCTCAATATCTTTAAACATTAGCATTCTATTAACTTTAATCTATGTAAAAAAAAAATTGCCCTGTAGCCTTTGGTCCATTCCAGTCGGGACTGTTGCTCATCCAGTCTGCTGCAGAGCTCTCATCCTGGGGATTTTCTCTATTTATTCCTGTGCTGAATGACCTCTTTATTTGATACTTAAGGGCCCAGTGCATGAATTCGTGAACCTTAAAAGGAACTGTGGGTCACGAGGCTGCGGTGGGCACAGGGGCGGGTCTCGGCCCATCCTCTGTGCAGGGCCAGCGCCATCAGCGGGTGTGAGCAGTAGCTGCTGCCCCAGTCACCCCTCAGGAGCCGGAGGGGTGGAGAAGCCCTGAGGGGTGATCGGGGCCCGCAGCTGCCACTCGCACCCACCAACAGCACTGAATGATCAGGGCCAACACCGGGCGCCAGTGGCAGGTTTGAGTGCCAGGCGGGACTGTGGCGTGCGGGAGCAAATAATTTTCAGTAACCACCAGAGGCTCGCCCCGATGGCAGCGACCAGCGCCCCGCCTTGGTCTGGTGCCCCCGCTCACCTGCTCTACCATCCCACCACAGCTGACATGGGGCATGTTCCATGCTCTGCCGCCTGCTGCCGACGCCGGCCATGTTCTGCGAGCACCTCCTGATGGTCAGCGCACATCATTGCGACTGGTTGTTCAGTTGTTCCACCATTTGGTCTGTTTGCATGTTAGCCTTTTATTATATAGGATTATTTTCTTCATTTGTCTGCTCCCTTATTTTGCTGGACCACATTCTTCAGTAGCCTTCTAAAAAAGTGTATATTAGAGGTAAATTATTTTAATCCCTGCATATTTGAAAATGGTTTTATCCTGGTTTTATATCTGATTTTTAATTTAGCTAGATATAAATTCTTAATTGGAAATCATTTTCTCTTAGAATTTTTAGTATTGATATTCAAGTATCCAATGCAGTTCAGAATTTTTATTCTATTTTGATTTTGTGAAATCTTTTCCTCTCCTTTCTGGAAGCTCATAGAATCATTTCTTTGTCCCCAGTATTATAAGGTTTCATGATGGACATTGCTCTGGGTCCATTTTCATCCATTGTGCAGAATCTTCTTAGGCCTTTGCCATGTTCCATTTTGGAAACTTAAGTCCTTAAGTTCTGTAAAACATTTTTATTTTTTTGATTATTTTCTTTCCTCTGTTTTCTCTGCATTGTTTTCTAGAACTTTTTATTCATATATTGCCCTCATGGCCTGGTCATCTAATTTTCTTATATTTTGGATATTTTAAATGATTTTTTCTGGAAGACTTTCTTATTTTAATAACCAGTGAATTTTTTATTTCTGTTATTATATTTTTTACCAAGAATACTTCCCTTCCTCTTTATTTCTTTTTTTTTTGTAGCATGCTATTCTTGTTTTATAATTGTAATCCCTTCTAATTTTCTTCTCTTTGTACAGTTGATCTGTTCATATAAGTTGCTTTCTACAAATGCCTGCTGATCCTTGGTTCTTTGCTTTTATTTACAAGTAAGACACTAAATGATGGCTGGAAACTCTATTTGTGGATATGGCTTGTAAACTATGGAATAAAATAAAAGATGATCTGACTAGGATGTTGTGCTGAGGAACCCCCAATATCAATATCTTTAGTCTTTTCTCTTTGGTTCGTCAGATTCCTCAGAAAAGAATCATTGTATATGATTCTGTTCTCTGCCTAAAGAGTATGGGCCTGTGAGGGGTAAGAAGATTGAGAGAGAAGAGCAGATCTCAGCATCTATTATGTAACTTTCATTTATTCCCCAGGATTTTTATTGGATAGCCTACCGTCGATGTGGGATTCCTCCATCCAGACACCCTGCTTTACCCGCTTTGGAAAATAAATCTCTAGTTTTCTGCCAGGATGGGATAGGAAGTCACTATTGTATGGAATGGTAGAGACAGCATATGGATGAGTGTTGCGCATCATCAACTACTAAACATTCTTTCAACCAATCTTCCTGTTTTAGCCACATCCCCTTCCTCCTTCCAGAGGTGTCATTTCCCGAGCTTTTTAAGATTACAACATTGCAAGCCAGGTGCTTCTCTTCTGGGTCTTTCATGCTGACAGTTTAGGAACTGTTGTTAGGTAACTGCTGATCAGTTACCAGGCATCTGCCTACTTTTTAGCTTCCAAAGTTTATTGCGATTGATCCCTCTCCGATGCTTTCTCCCTATATACTTCGCTATTGTTTAAATATAGCTCTGAGAGGGATGGAGGTTAAATGTGTTCCACCTACTGTTTTTCCCCAAAATGCCAAAGTAACTATTTTTAACAGTTAAGAGGCTATATTTGTGTTTTAGATTTAATTCATGCTATCCACTTTAAATTTAAGTCTTATTTGATTCATCTCTGATTGATTTCTTACTCTTAATAGGTAATTTGGCCTCCCGTTAACTAAGAAAAGCCTATTCAGTTTGCACTTTTTAAAATGTTTTCCTTTTCTGCCCAACAATTTCTTTGTATCTCCCTGCTCCCTCAGACCTCCCTTCTGTACTCTTCATCTCATTACTCCAGCCTCTTCTGTGACCTTCTCCATCCTGAAGACAAACTGAAACCTCTCACTTTCCATTTCTCCCTAAAGTGCCCTATTTGTAAATCTACTTAACTTTTTAGCTTAAACAATGAATAAACCAACTTTTTTTTAAGCGTTAAGCTTCAGTTCCAGCTTTCTCATTCTTTTCTAGTCTTCCTTTTTTTAAAAATAATAATAATAATAATGCTATTCATCTAATTTTATACCTTTCATTTTCTTCTTAACTCTATTCCACTTAGTCTTGTATATGAACTTTTTTGAAATTACCTTCAGAAAAAAACCACCAACCTCTTCTTGGCCAGAGCCTACTTTCCACCTAAACTCTTTTGTCATCTTTTTTCTTCCTGCTAATTCTTATATTCTTCTTTCCTCAGCAAGAATATATTCTTTTTCCTCTTTTGTCCCTTTTCTCCCACTCACTATTATATGTGAGCTTCTATTTCCTTAGGCTACTTAGAACACAAAGCCGTTAGAAATTCATAGAAATGAATCAATGTTTAAATTTTTCTTGTTTTATTGGAAGAAAGTAAGATGACTTTTAATAAACATTTTTATGACGTTAATAAGAATAAGGTTTAACTTTAATATTTAGGCAGGTGCTGTAAAGGATTATATTAAGATGATGCTTCAGAACGATTCGCTTAAATTTCTGGTTTTCGCTCACCACTTACTCATGCTCCAGGCTTGCACAGAAGCAGTCATAGAAAACAAGGTATGTTACCATTTGTCTATAAAGTACTTTCAGGATGCATCAGTTGTCTTATAATTGAGTTGTGGTTTTTTTTGCCTGTTTTACATGATGGTATATAAATTAATATTAGATATTTTTGATATTATGTTACTATTGTGTTGATGGTATCCTATTAAAGTTTGCCTTTTATACCAGTCTCATAATTTTCCACTAATCAAATGATCTGAATTGATTAAAGTATGCTGCTTTAATCATCTATGTTCTGAATTTAGTTTTTGTTCATGGATGTACTGTTTGAGATTGGTATAGTAGGCAGTTAAAAGTTAAATTTTTTGTTTACCCGAAAGGCACCCTTGGAATGGGGGAGATGTTGAAGGGACAGGAAGGATGAATTCCATTGATTTTTGTGCCCAGCTGTAGTCAGACCTTTCAAACTCCAGGCAGCATGCTCTATAGGATATGATTACAAAGACTTACTGAGTGTAAGTGAATCTATAGCTTAGGGCCAGGCGGTCCACCAGGTAAGCTCCAGCAAGCCTGCTGGCCTTCCTGCAGGGTTCTTAGGCCCACCTCGTTCCCCAGCTGTCTGTCAGTGACAGCATCTCCCATTTTTTCTTCCAAAGTTGAAACCTGCCGTCGCTTTCTGTGCGAGGGCTTCTAGCGATGCCCAGGAGCAGCCAGATAAAGCCTCCTGGCAAACTGAGCTCGATAGACGCCTAGCAGCAGAACTTCTCGCCTGTGTAGGTGGATTTTTTTAAATGGAGGAATAAAGCCATATTTTTTATTACTTCGTACAGTATAGATTTATCATTATTAATTCATTATTACCCAAAAAGTAATGTCAGTGTTTCCTTCATTGAAAGATTGATGATAATAAAGTGCTGTGCATTGAAAGGTACTTTCTCATTGATTACCTCTTAGTGACTGTAAAACACCTTCTGAGGGAGAGTGAACCTTACAAATAACTTTGAAATGATTGGGCCTTAATATTAGATTCACAGTATTTTCTTATTTGGATCCCATTATACCTTAAAATACTGGAATCTATTCCAAGAGGAGCAGTCTGCTTCTTTTCCCCACTTCTGCTTTACTGGTGGATTTAGAATCCCATTTACATCACTAAGAATGAAAAATGTAGGTATCCTGGTGTTGGAGGTGAACTGCTCAAAACAATGTGTTTTCTTTAGAAAGACTCTCTGAAGATTTTATAATCTCCCTAATGGATAGTAAATGGATCACTGGTCAATTTATATCTGTTTTGTGAAGACAGAGAAAGTTAATAAGGGACATTCTATTTAGTGATTAACTTGACTGTCTTCTTATATAAGTGAAGATTTCTGTCTCAACTATTTAAGACTAGGTTTTCCATAAAAGTGCACATACATATGAGATTATTTGAAACTCAGGGCTTATACTTGTTTTACAAAGTCGAGAAATAAGTTATTTTTAGCTGTTCTAACACAGGATTGCTTCCTTTTCTCTACTCACATCATTCTTAAAACTCAGAACTGTTCAGTTAGGCACTTAATGTTCCCCTGCTTCTTAAAAACATGGGTGCATGTCTTGTTCCGTTCCCCACCTCAATGGAGATGCATATTTCTTTTAAGTTTAATAATGTGAAAAAAGAGAACTCAAATGGTGCATTAAAAAAGATATTTTCCCAGTTAATATTGGGATATTTCAGAAATAGATGTACTGCTTTTCATGAATTTCTAATACATGGGCAGAATGCTCTATTTCTTTTCTTGCATGTCTGATTTTACTTTTACTCTGGGGTTAGTGGTCCTATAACTAGAAACTTATTCTGATACATTATTCAATTGAAAATTGGCGTATTAATTTACATGGAATTTTACTGAGACAACATTAGTAATTCAGTCATGATTTATGGAACTCCTGTTACGTACAGGCATTGCACTTGGCAATGATGGTATAAAGATGAATTAGGCATAGCTCCTACCCTCAAGTAGCTTAAAAGACTAAAAAATATATGATTGCTAGGCCCTAGCTGGTGTGGCTCAGTTGGTTGGAGCATCATCCCATACACCAAAAGGTGGTGGGTTTGATTCCCGATCAGGGCATTTACCCAGGTTTCGGGTTCCATCCCCGTGTGGGAGGCCACCAATTGATATCTCTCTCTCTCTCTCTTTCTCTTGCCTCTCTCTAAAAATAATAAATTGTTTTTAATCTTGAAAATAAAACTCAATAAAAAACATAAAATTGTTATCAGAAGCTATTAAGAAATTTGGTTAAGATTCTTCTTGTATGATATTTACCAACCTGTCATCTTAACCAGTTTCTCTTTTATTATGTGAACATAAAAATAAGCTGTAAAGTATATAAAACAAGATGGGTACATAGGGGCTTGTCCTAACTTTGCCGTTTCCTTTGTTAATGCTAGACTCGATATGTTAGGATAGATGGAAGTGTCCCGTCTTCAGAAAGAATACATCTGGTTAATCAGTTTCAAAAGGATCCTGAGACCCGTGTGGCTATCCTAAGCATTCAGGCTGCTGGTCAGGTAAGAAATTTCTGGCCTCAACTTGATTATAAAATGTCTTTGAAATCATATAAAGGCCATTACTTATAGTGATAACTTTATATCTGGTAACTAGTGTAATCAGTGTTCCTTCTATGTTGGAGAGTACTGGAAAGTATAATAGGTGACCTCAACACCACTGACTGAAATCTTCCTAAATTTTCAAGGAAAGAATTTTCTAGAAGAATATAGTACATTTGACTGTAATTATTGTTTCATGACTGTTTTTCCTTCCTTTGAATTTGTCTGGAATTTTCCCATCCCTTTCTTATAGAATTTATCTTACTTGGTTATTTCCCTCTGAGTCCATAAGGTAAGATGGCCTGAGGAAAAAGAACTCTGTTTCTGAGAACTTTGTATGGCGTGCCCCTGGTTTTGTCCTTAGAATTACATTTGGCACCCGGCTGGCATGGCTCAGTGGTTGAGCATCAACCTATGAACCAGGAGGTCAAGGTTTGATTTCCAGTCAGGGCACATGCCCCGGTTGTTGGCTCGATCCCCACTGGGGGAGGGGGGCATGCAGGAGGCAGCCAATCAATGATTTTCTCTCCTCATTGATGTTTCTATCTCTCTCTCCCTCTCCCTTCTTCTCTGAAATCTATATATTTATATATATACACACTGAGTGGCCTGATTATTATGACCACCTGATGTTTGTAGGCAAATTAGCTATAATTTCCTGCTCAGGTTGCTAGAGGGCCAGATCATTATAAACGTCTGAATAGCACAACATACCTAAGTATCGTTGCTGATCAAGTTCATCCTATCATGTTGATGGCATATCCCAATGGAGATGGCTTCTTCCAACAAGACAATGCACCATGCCACGGTGCTCATACTGTGCAGGAGTAGTTTCAAGAACATGAGGGTGACTTTACCTTGCTTCGGTCACTCAGTTTATATTTTAAGAATTATGTTTGCCTGCAAATAAATGGAAATCCTTATTAAGAAACACTTAAAAAAAGAAAGAAAGACTTAAATACTTTGTTCTCTCATGTAGACAGTCCAAGGCTAGCATGGCTTTCTTCTTCACCACTCATAGGAGGTCTCCCTTTCCTAAGAGGGCTGCTCAAGCTTCTGCAGAGCTGCCATCCAGACAGCTGGCTGGAGAGAGGCATGCTACCTCTCACCAGCCTGTGGTCAGTCCCATGGCCACAACTAGCCGCTGAAAGGCAGGCTGGGAAAAGTAGCCTTTTTTTCCAGGTAGTTATGCTAAAAATCAGATGTTACTTTGCAAAGGAATAAAACAAGAATAGGTATTGGGAAAGACAGTAGCAGTCTCTGCCACACTGTAGAAGAGGGGAGCCTTCTGGATTTTTTTTTCCTACTAATATTCTGAAATACTTCAATATAAATGTCTAAGCCACGATCCTTAACATCTGGAAAAGTAATTGAATATATAGCTGTGCGTCCAGCCTGGTGTATGCCTATCTGGCATCTTCTGTGGACTTGAATCTGAACCAGAGCCAGAGATCTGCTTTACCCAGCAAACGAATGTGTGTATATACAATTGTATATACAGAGAAACTCCATGAGGATTTACCCAGATGGTTCTAGAACTCACTAGGAATTCTAACCCAAAGGATGATTGTCTCAACACTTCCATGATCATGTTGGATTAAACTTCCAGTAATCTGAGTTTTCTATGTTAGAATATTCCAGACATAGAAAATATCACCAAAAAGCTTAAAATTAGAAATGGAGTGCTCGTAGTATGGGAGAAGCAATGTAGGCGGAGAGCTTAGGAGTGGCCTGAGGAAAGACTTTGAGTTAAGATTGCACAGGGCACTCACATGTTGTTCTAGGCTGTATTCCTAAAGACCTTGCATCATTCAAAACTCATGTACGCGGACACGGTATCTTCATAGGAAGAAAAGAAAGTAGAAAGAGCATTGCTCGCGGGGTGGTGAATCCTCCGTTGTAGTTTAGAAGTGTCTTAGAGGGATGCTGAGCCTGCCAGCATGCTCCCCCTTCATTTTCATACGGTCACATGACACTTTGTACGTGCTGAAAAGTGTCCCTCTTTAAATACGACTTCTTATTTTTCGACATCATCTCTAATATTTTGTGGCATTCCCTGTCCTAAACAGCAGCACAGGCTAGCATGGTGGCGGTTTGGCTCTCTCCATACTTTTATTACTTCTAACTTCTGTTCCATAGTGATTGATCCTCAGTGAATTTTTCAGCTTGAGAACTAATGCCGCCGTTGAATGAAGGTTAGCATGATGTTGTTATGAGATATAAAAATAGTTTAAGCTAAAATCCCATGTCAAAATAACAATACAGCAGCCATAAGCATCCCTCCCTCCAAGTTCCAGTGCATGTGAGCATGAGCATGGATTGGATGTCACTCTCAGAGGACAGCAGGGGTTTCTGTCGACCACCGGCCTGTGGCAGTAGCCTAAGCCGGGGTCGCAGTTCATGCAGCCTGCCCACTCTAACATCATGCATTTTTTACTCACTTTTAGTTTGAGGAGATTTGTTTATTTCATATATTATCTGTAAAACAAGACAGTTAATAGTTTTAATGTTGCACCATTTCAAACTGATGTAAAGTGCAATTGCATAAAAAATGAAATTGTGTTATATATATTGAGATACAAGCTAGTCAACTTCAGAGCCTTTGGATTGTAACATAAGAAATGTCACAGGAAGAGAACAGTACGACTGGAGACATGATTTTCTTGCTTTATAGAACAGCAGTATGAATTAAATGAACAGAGGATGTCATTTCTTTCTCCTAGTTGCTATGGACACCATGTGTTAGAAATTATCTTCTCATTTATAATGTATTTTATTAGATTTTACAGTGGTAATGTGAATCCAGTCCTCATCAGATGATAAAGTAATTCTGTATGTGTGTGTGTCCACCAAGCCAACTTTTGAAATATGGAAATACATTTTGAATGTGTGTTTTGTAGTTCACCCGGCTGTCTTGCAGTAAGCAGTCTTCATCTGCCTTTTATGAATTATATGTTCTTAATTTAGCTTAGTATGAAAAACTGATCTGTTTTTAAGTCCTTCCATGTTCTCTTCTCCATTTAATGTGTTCAGAAAGACTATTACACATGGCTCTATTTTATATTCTCGGTTTAGTTACATCTTGGTTTCTTCACTTTATTTTGCTAAGGGTTTGACATTTACTGCTGCCACTCACGTTGTATTTGCTGAGTTGTACTGGGACCCTGGGCATATAAAGCAAGCAGAAGACCGTGCTCACCGAATCGGACAGTGCAGTTCTGTGAATATTCACTACCTCATTGCAAATGGGACCCTGGACACCCTCATGTGGGGAATGTTGAATCGCAAGGTAAGGCTTGAGTTGAAACCAGGTTCCCAGCTTACGGTTACCCATAGTCTACATGAGTGAAGAGGATGAGTTTTCGTGTTTTCAGGCAAAGGATACCTAAGTACACTAAGATACTGATGATAATAGAAAAGGTAGTACCGCACCTGCTATCCTTTGTAACATGTATTCCTATTGTATTCACGCCCTTCTACCACTTTAGAGGCTAGAGGAGAGGGATAGCTAGCAAGGAACCATAATGCTTTCAAGCACCAAGTCTTTTTCGTAAGTAAAGAATAAATCCTTTCTCTGAAGGATTCTTGAATCCAGAGCTAATATTGGATAGAGGACACCCTGCACCCAGACTCTAGAAAAGGTGGGAGGGACATTGCTTGCTCTGTCCCCTGAGCTGTCTCTTCTCCCAACCTTGCGGAATGTTTATAGAAAGTATTTGACTAAAGATTAGAAGATAGTTGTCAAGCACTGAGTATAGATATTCAAAATGGCCATTCATATGTAGGTTCAAAAGTTTATAAATATTAGAATAAAAGTTTTTATGAGAAAAGCCAATAGGATAATTTGTCTAGTGAAACCTAGTAATTTGGTTGTGATTTGGAATAATTATGTGACTACAGCACATGATATGTTGAAGCAATATGATTTTCTTTAATGGATTGTGATTCAAATGCAAAATCAAGATATTGCTTAGCAAACATCAGCAGTGAGGCGAATGTTACGAAGGTCACTGCTTCTCCCTCCTACAGGTGCAGGTTACCGGGAGCACATTGAATGGTAGGAAGGAGCGACTTCAGGCTGAGGAAGGGGAGAAGGAAAAATGGGATTTCCTGCAGTTTGCTGAAGCTTGGACTCCCAATGAGAGTTCGGAGGAGCTCAGGGATGAAGTTTTGTTCACTCATGTAAGACGATTATATGACTTATCCTTTTCTATTTTGTAATATCCTGAAACTATAACTTTATTGTATATTGTTTTAAATAGCAATCTTCAGTTATTTGTGCTATTAAAAGCTAGCCTCCACATAAAGCTGAAAAGCTGCTTAGAACCAAAAAATAACAGATGGAAGGAGGCTGCAGCCATGGCTTGTATCTTCCAACAGTTAATATCAGTGCCTCACTGTTCAGTTCCTTAGAAAAACAAGTTAAGTAGAATCCAACTTCAGAGGAAAATACAGGAGGCTATCTTTATGACCCTGAGGGTTGGGAAAGATGTACTAAATTTGCCACAAAATGTAGCATAAGCAAGTTACAGACCCCTTTGGGGGCAATATGGTATGAGAATTATGGGAGTTTAATTTTAATTTTTGGAAGAATTGATCAGAAATTATAAGAATAAAATTAAAATCTATACATGTTTTTTCAAAGTGCAAATTTAAAAATTTAATATAAAGCTTAGTTCCATAAAAACATAATATTTTTATGTATCTTATTTGCAGGATTAGTTTTTTTTTCTAGGATGCTAGAATGCCATTCTGTCAAATGTTGCTAAAAAATAAAAAGAATCCTTTATATAAGAATTTTATATATATATGTATATATATATGTATATATATTTATACACACACATAGATATATAGATATGTATATTTTTTAATTAATTTCATAGAGTAAGGGAGAGGGAGAGAGAAATAGAAACATCAATGATACGGGAGAATCACTGACTGGCTGCCTCCTGCACACTCCCCTCTGGGGATCAAGCCCGCAACTCGGGCATATGCCTTTGACTGGAATTGAACCTGGGACCTTTTGATCCTCAGGTTGATGCTTTATCCACTGAGCCAAACCAGCTAGGACTGTAAGAATTTTTTTAAATTAAACAACTCCTTTTAGTAGTGTTTCTTACATTATATTTTGGTCAATTAAAAACCAGGTATTCTAAGTATTTAAAAAATATATATAATTCAAACTATAAAAATATAACTATTATTTGTAGTTGTCCTTTCTCTAAAATATCCTAATTATTGAAATATGTTTATTATTAAGTTCATTTTTATGACAAGTATTAAGAATTTGACATTTGACACACATATATACATGTTTATTGAGTTCATGTGTATCTGAAGATAAATATATATCTTTGTATACAGTTGAAGATCACCCAGTCACCCTGACCGAAGCTTGCTTTCCTGAGTTAGGTGCTTGTCTCTCGTAGGTTACTGTTGCCCTGCACAGGTTTTCCAGTGCCTGGCTTTATGCACATGTGGTATCGTAGAGGATTCTGCCCACATATCTGCAGGCTTGCTTTCCACTGTTTCAGTTACCCATGGTCAAGAGTTGTCCAAAAGCATTAAATGGAAAATTCCAAAAGCAGACACTCCCTAAGTGTTAAATTGTGCCACGGTTCTGAGTAGCGGAGAAATCTCCTGCCATTCGGCTCCAGTCAACCAGGACATCATCATCCCTTTGTCTCCACATTGTATATGCCCCGCCCATTAGTCACTTAGTAGCCATGAGGATTATCAGATTGACTGTCCCAGTATTGCAGCGCTTGTGTTCAAGTCACCCTTATTTTACCTAATAATGGCCCCAGAGCACAAGAGTAGTGATGCCAGCCATTCAGATATGCCAAAGAGGAGCCGGAAAGTGCTTCCTTTAGGTGAAAAGGTGTGTGTGGAAAAACATAGTGCGTAGAGGGCTTAGTGCTGTCCTCGGTTCCAGGCATCCACTGGGCATCTTGGAACGTGTCCCCGTGGATCAGGGAGGGTGTGTGTGAATCGGAACCTTATAACAGGCCATTTGTCTTGCTTTGTATTTGTTTGGGTTTTGGGCCACATGTGAAATGTGCTTGAATGACTTTAGGTGGGAATGCCACCTAGCACTTTCTCTTTACATCCTCCCGCTTCATGCATTTTTAAGAAATGTTCAATTTGTTGAAAGGGCCTAAAAAAATTTAGTCTACTGACAAACATATTTTTCTTCTGAATGTTGCCAAAATCAGCATTTCCTATGGGAATTTTTCTATTTATATGGATTTCTTTTTGATCCTTTTTAAAAATCCTTTTAAAATTTTTTCCTACATTTGGCATTTTAGGCTATTTCTACTTTTGTTAATTAAGCTTTGTCAAATTAACTAAATTTGTCAATTGTGATTAAAAAACAAACAAACACGTGTTTGTCTGGAAAGTTTGTAACAGTTCTAATTAGATGGCTTTGAACAGCTTGTGACTATTTTGGCGATGTCAGCATTTTAAGGAATGTTCGTTTTATCTCCGCGCCAGCGCTTGGAGGCCGAGGCAGGTCGGAGCTGGGGCAGAGAACAGGCCTTCCCTGAGACGGACAGACTGAAGAAGGGGAGGGAGAGGAGCTCCCTGGCTCCGGCCTCAGCCCTGGAGAAGGGGAGGGAGAGGAGGTCCCCGGGAGAAGACCAGGAGCAGAGGGTGAGCCTGAAGGGCAAAGAGGATAATCCCGGGCAGGAAGAGAGCCAGGAGGCTCAAGTCCCCCGGGTCCCCAGCTCCCAGTCTTCTTACCCCTGCCAGCCCAACACATTCAAAAGGTGTGAAGTCTATGAATGATTTTCGGAAAACCAATAAATATGGCCAGTGTGACAGATTGATCTTCAGGGAACTGACCTAGAGCCTAACTTTAGTATGATGAGGGGCCCTGGGGACAGGAGGCCTGTGGTTAGGAAAAAGAGGAGGAGGGAAAGGAGAGAAAATTTTTGTGGATAAAATTTTTCTATTTATTTTTATATTTCCTGCCTTCTTTCTCCTCTGGTGTTCACTGCCCTTCAGAATGGCGTCATCTCTATCTCCCTCCTCTCTTCATCAGAATCCTCTTTCTGTTACATAACCCAGTTATTACGATGAAAAGATCTGTGGAATCAGGATGGTGTTCTACCAGCGTATACCAGAAGTGTGCTGGTTGTTAAATATCAAATATTTGGGTGATGGTTGGTAACTAGCCACTTCCTCAGCCCTCTCCTTTGTGTAGGCCCTCACCTCACCACGGGGTCTCAGGGACCTCCGTGACCCAGCAGCACGGGGCCCCTCGGGCTCTGCTTTGACCCAGTACTGGTCACTGCCCCTACTATCGCTGCTGTTAGACATTTAAATAATCACCTGCATGGCATTAATCCACACAAGTGTATGAGTCACAATTCTTCACCCATCCTAGAGAGATTTACATTTTTAAAAGACATTATTTGTTAACCCAAATGAAACTCGAATTTAAGTCCAACTCAGACGAGAGCGAACATCCCAGGACCATGAGGAAGGCACCTTTGCGCAGCCCAGGTGGCTGTCTCCTCAGGAGCCGTCCTTCCACGAGGGTCGCTGCCTCAGCCCGGGTCTGTTTTCTCAAGCTCATTCATTTCTTCTCGTCTGCATGCGCATGGCTTCTAATTCTCTTTTGGCTTTGAGATGCTTTCATTTTCCTACATTGGCTTCCACTGAATGATAAAGTAGGTTGTCTCCAGATGGAAAGAGAGAAATGTGGACTCTATTAGTCTATGTTGTCATTTCCAAATAATTAAAGGCTGCTTCATTTTTGCCACCACCATCTGAGGGATATTCCTTCCTTTGGCTATAGCTGTGGTGAACTGGGCCCTTCCTCTACCCTCTTCAGGGACCTTTCCATCCTCTTTTGGCCCTTAATGGGTCATCAGCATCATCATTTATTCAGCCATTGTGTTCCTAGATCACTAGATGGCTTCCAAGGTCCTTTCTAAGTATATAGCTTACACTTCATAGTATAATAAAGTATCCGAAGAGAAGCTTGGTGCATAAGTGATTCACCATTGAGCAAAAGAAAGGACTGACTTAGCAAGTCCAGCTCCTGCTGAGGACAAGTCTTCCTTCTGCCTGATTTCTCTTTCTCAGATCTCAGTGAGCCAGAGCTGCTTCCCTCTGGTCCTTCAGACAGCAGTTCTCTTCCACATGGGAACAGATAGTTCAGTGAGTACCTGGTTTCCTCTGTCATTGACCTCTTCCTGGCTGTGTGGCCTTCCTTACCTCCCCAGGGCGCATGTCTCTGCCCTGGCTCATAGCACTGCCTTTTCTGTCATAACCAAGCTCTGGTCCCTGGCCTTTGTCCTCCGGGCCTTCTCGGGCATCCTGCACCCAAAGCAGAGTTACCTTTCAACACCATATTGGCATTGGGAACAGTGGATGGCTGTCCTGGCTGGTTTGGCTCAGTGGCGAGAGCATCAGCCTACGGACTGAAAGATACCCGGGTTCGATTCCGGTCAAGGGCACATGCCTGGGTTGTGGGCTTGGTCCCGAATGGGGAGCGTGCAGGAGGCAGCTGATCAGTGATTTTCTCTCATCATTGATGTTTCTATCTCTCTTTCCCCCTCCCTTCTTCTCTGAAATCAATATAAAAATATATATTAAGAAAAAAGAACATAGGATGGTTGCTGTTTTGCTGCAAAAAGTGTATGTAGTTGGAAAGGAGAGCTCTCCAGCACAACTGTGAAATTTCAAAGTATGCCCACAAAATTCATAAACTGCATATTTATTAAATTCCAACATTGTGTGAAATATTTGTTTTCTTGTGGGCTAAAAAGTACAAATAAGAATCTGTCACAAATATATAAGAAATAATAGCCTTCTTTCCCACATCGTGTCTCGTTGAAAAAATGGTAACAGCAGGAAGTAAGTTGACGCAGGAACTGTGGCATTGGTGAAGTCTGAATTTGTCTCATCTGAGCCTCTTGTTTCTGAATATGCTAAAGCGTTGGTTTCTTGAAGCGAACACACCTCACATTTGATATTTATTTAATATGTATTTTAGAATTCAAACCACTCTGTAAACATTATTAATTAGTCTGCATAATAGCCTAATGATAAGGATCAGAGGCAGCCTCATTGTCATGGAGACATTCAGATATCTCTTTCATCGCTGGCATCATATAGTGCTATTACTGGTCATTTGTCTTGTTTGCCTCTGTTACTTCAAGTCACTC